ATAATGAAAGGAAATACATCTTCATGCAGTGTGAAATCAGATCACAATGCACTTGTGGAAGAGATAATGTGAGCAAACTCTTTGGGGCAAGAACTTTGTTTCCTTACTTGTCTATACAGCACCCAGCACATAACTGTGATTTGCATCTCAAAACATATATCTACATAATATTAACAAATGGGTTAGCAAATGAGGCTGAATAACACTAGCAAATTATAATGTGTTTAAAAATGAATAATCAAATATTACTCCCACAGATCTGTAAAGGCAGTGCTGCAGCTATGCATCAAATATTCATACCCTACCAAAGGGAGGAGTGAAATAATGTTTCTCACCAAAAGGTTATTTTACAGTTTGATGTAAACGATCTGCTGATACACTGTGCCTCACAGAAGGGCTCAGTTAATACATTATTTGCCTTCTAACACTAACTGGCAATACACAGTTGGGACAGCCGACTTCAACTGATCAAAGGGGCATACCATACCCTATGAAGCTGTGTTCAGCAATAAAAGCAGGGAAAAAGAAGGGGCGGTGCGGGTATGTGTATGGGTGTACGTGTGTGTGTGCACATGTGTGAAATCCATGGTTACAAAGGATGTTTTCTGATACAATCACTGTGTATACTGAAATCCTGCTTCCCAGGAAGTAGCTGGACATCGCCTGCTGATGGGAAGTAGTGAATCAATTCTCTCTTCTACTTCACATCTGAGCTTTGCTTTTCTTATTAAATTGTCTTTATCTCAGTCCTCAATCTTGTCCATCTTATTCTCACCCCTTGTCCTGCTGAAGTGTTCAGAGAGAGCAACTGGGTGAGCATCTGGCAGCTGGCAGGGGTCAACCCACCACAGTAGTACATCCACAGTAGGATACAACCACAGTATTTTATAATCTGGATGATTTGTCAGCCTATCACCATCCCGCAAATGGTTTTGTGTTTCCTGGTACTCCTCCTGGATATCAAACCCATGCTGCAGTTACTTGTCTTTGAAAGCTGGTCTGCAATAGACTCACTTATTTAGTGCCTGGTTATTTGCTAGTAATCAAAGATATAACTTGCATCAGAAAACAGTAGCAGGTAATGATGCAATTTATGTATGTCTATAGGTAGAGCCTGCATCCAAAAAAAATCCAAACCAGGCAGGCAGGGTATTAGAAACAAGGAAGACAGATGAATCAGTGGAGAAAAGACACGATGAAGCATGGGAAATCTGAAGATCTGATGTTTAGTATGAGTCTCCAGCTGGATGCACAGTTAATATCAAAACATAATACTAAGATTCCACATACAGCTAACTACATTAAGCAAAGCATTAACTCCCCATGAGGTGATTATCTCCAAACCAAATAATTTCTTATGTATAAAACAATAGCAGCAGAGAGATGAAAAAGTAAAATGCCTACAGGAAATCATGGACAGAACACATAAAAACTTAAGTGGGAGCCTAAACCACTTTCTTTAATAGGGGAGCCACCTGGGGCCACAAAGACGTTCTGAGAGGATGGAAATGGAGTAATTTTTCAAAGCATATGCAGTATTAGTAAAAAACAGACCCTCTCTTAAAAAACGGATGTTAGAGACCAAAGGGTATACAACAGCTCTATTTTGTTTTTTTTGTAGTTGAATTTCAGCATAGTCCCTTCTGTCTGTCGAGGTCTCCAATACCAGACCACAGTTTGCACCTTGTAGGCAGACTTAACAGCCAAAACGATTTAGTATGTGTGAATCTTGATTTATGTCACCTCTAGAAATCTGCTCCTCCTGCTGACAGAGCTGAATGTGGATTATATTTCTTACACTGTTTCTGCTATGAATAAGAGTAGTTCAGCTCCTGTGTGCCGTTGGTACTTTTCAAGAGTACTGTTACACTATATTGTTTTTCAGAAAGAACTGTCAAACTCTTCTGCCTTATGGGACCAAAGGCTAAATTACAGTTTTGCGGGCTAAACCAATCTATGCAATTTTATTGGGATAAAAAAACCAACACACAACTGTTTCCCAAGGTACCAAGAGGTCTGCTAAAATTCAGAAAATGTTACATGTACCATAAAGCACTTTAATGAACAGCATCATATTTCAGGTGTGCTGCTTTCTCTTTCCTGCATGCTTTTCAGTTACAGTTATTTGGTGCTTCTATGCCTGTAACAAGTCTCTCTCTGAGATGTTCTGTCTCATAAACAGGATATTTAGCCGTTAGGTGAAGGATTGCTTTTCCATTTGGGACAATTGCTGTTTAGAGCTCTTTAGATCTTTAATTGTGTGAAGATATATTACTTCTTTTTTTGTTTTGGTAGCTAAACTGCAGGTTTATCCTGTCAAGTAATGATTTAGTCATCTTACCTGCTGAGCTGTGTGCATGCTAGTGAAAAGCTGCCGTTGAAACTTAAAGGCTACTCTTTTAACATGAAATTAATGTTCAGACAGGATATCTGAATTATCTGAATTTCTGTTTACATTTTTATATAAAGTTTAAAATACCAAAAATAATGTCAGTGTTCTAGTTTCTAGAAGTGCTTCACTTATAAGGATTATTTTTCATATTTCCTCCTTCTCTGTAAGAGTTATAACTGTGCAATGCTTTAGTTCTGCAACATTTGCAAAATTGCCAACTGTAAATAAAGCATGTTTGTTGGTTGTTATTTTTGTTTGTTTGGGTTTTTTTTTTTTCCCCAAAGATAAAGATATGGCTGGCATCAAATGTTAAAAAAAATGTTTAAAAAACCCAAACTAACAAATACCTCCTGCTTTAATGGAGTAAAATATCGCATGCTTTTTAGTAAGTACAAAATACTATTAACACAGTACTTTCTCAAGGTTTGAGGTAGCTCCCGAACTAATAAAACCAATTTGCTAGAAGAAAGACATCTCAGACCAAGCTATTGCAGCGTCTAAACCCATAAGCATTTAAAGCATTTCTTGTTATTTTCTTCCAAACAAAAGCAGGTGTATTCAATGTTCACACTGGACACAGTAAACACAAATGTCTCATCGTTGCCACCCAAAAAAAAAGGCGAACAGTTGAAGAATGGGAGGAAAAGAAATCTACTGCTGTAGTGGATCAGTCTCACCAGAATAAAATTTGCATTAAGAGGTTGCTGTGAAAGGACATGACTTTCAGGTTGTTTATCAGCAGTAGCAGTTCTAAACTCTGCACAGATGAGGGTACCTGCACCTGGTATAAACTGAACAAGTATTTCTGTCCATCGTTTCCAATATTAGTATTAACAATAAATTCCTTCATTAAGACCTAACAAACATTTGCTTATGACCAGATTGAGAGGTCGTTTCATTTTAGAAACATTCCTAAAATGCCATGAAATATGACCGTAAGTGATCAGGAATTAAGACACCTCACCACCCTTTTGAATCAGTTGATACACTACAAAACTGGTACAAAACTGGCATTTTTTTTCTTAAAAAGCAAATGTCAAAACACTGCATGAAGACCACCAACACTGGAAAGAACCCAGCAGAGAAACATCTTTCTGAAATGTTTCCAACTATTATTCACCTGGGTTTTTAGAGAATGAGACTGAAAACAGGGTAGAGACATTTATTGTTACTGAAATCTTAAGTCTATTAATCATTAATTACAGAAAAAGAGTGACGATAATGCAGTTGTTGTTGTACCCTTCTCATGATGTTACATCCACTTTACAACTGCTCCTCTCCATCCCCTGCCTGATCAGTTTCACTCTAGGTTAGGAGAATGAGGGGGTGACAACAGTGACTTGTGAGCATTTGGAGCCCTGGCCAGGAGAAGTATGATGGTCATGTTTATGATTTGTTCTTCCTCCTCTAGGATCCACTTGAAGTCATTTTTAATCTTTGCTAGTATGCTTCTTCACTGGTCTGCAGTTCCAGTTCTACAGCTGAACTTACTACGTATGTTACCTTCCAGATATGTCAGATACTATTTCTTTGTTGTCCCTAAACCCAGTTTTGTCCATCTCCAGGCCTGAATTTCTTGAACTGACCATGGGTAAGACATAACCATTTGGTCTCCAGTACCAAGACTGCGCCCCTTGTCAATACTCCTCTATGGTGCACGCTAGGTCTTCACTCCTCCAGAGCCTCTGCTACCCCACCAGGCCTGCATACCTCTACATTACATCACTGTGGCGAGGGTGCAAAGGACCTCGTTCTACAAAGAGTAACAGTGATGCAAAACTATCCGTATAACCCTTAAACACAAGTTAGCCATGGACTCCTGCTCCACCGGTGGAATTGCTGCTACAGATCACCAAGGGGACCATGGGTGAGGGCAGGCCGGGCACAGCCAGCGGGCCAAGCCGCAGTCCCGAGGCCTTGCGAACTCGGTGCAGCCGTCACAGCGCACCGCCAGAGCGGAGGGGGATACGCGCGGCTCCCGCGCAGCACACTCACACCCACCCCGCACCGCGGCAGCCGGTCGGGACGCGGTCCCCTCCTGCCGCGGCGACGCCAAGGTCGGCGAGAGCCCCAGCCGCGGGGATGCTGCCGGCGGACACGGCTTCAGCTAGGCGGGATCCGGCCGGAAAAGAACCGCCTCTCCCCCTCCGTTCGTTTCTCCTTTAAACAAAGCGCCTCAGTGTGAAGTTCGACGCTCCTGCGCACGCGGGGGAAGGGCGATGCACGTTTTCCCACCTGAACGGCCGGCCCTCAGCCCCGCTCCCGTTTAGCGGAGCAACAGAGGGGCAGTGCGAGACCGGCTCAGCCGCAAGCGTTACCGCTGCCAGCACCCACCGCCGGGGCTTGGAGCGCGACCCGGAGGGGCCGAGTCCCTGCCCTAGCCCCTCTCGGACCCGAGTCCGCTCAGCACAGCGACCCGTTCACCCCCACCGCCGTCCCCTCGGGCTCACTCAGACGCCTCTCACCCTCGGCCACCCCCTGCCTAGCGCGGCGCCCCCTCCCGGAAACAGCGCTGCCGCAGGGGCGAGCTCCCATTGGTCTCCTCTCGTCACACCTTCCCTCCTCCTCGGTGCTGAGCGGGCGGTGATTGGCTACTAGTCTTTGTCAGTCGGAGAGGGCGAACCCTGCCGGTGCACGGGCTGCGCGCTCGAGGGGCGGGTGCTGCTGCTGGGCGCCGCGGCGGCTGGTGCGGCTGCAGGCGGAGCAGTGATGCCGGCTGCAGGGCGGCGTTTGGCAGCGGGAGCCCAGCACGGAGCGGCGTGCGCCCAGGTGGGCGAGGGCGGCGAGCGTGGCCGGTAAGGTCCGTCCGCGGGGAGGAAGGATGCTTGGCTCCGTGCGCGGCCGTTACACCTTGGGCTGATGGGGCTGGCAAAGCTCCGGGCGGCGGTACCGGCGCAGGCGGAGAAGCGGGCGGGCAGGATGCCCAGGGTGGGCGGCAGCGCTGGGCGGCGGTGGGCCGCAGCGGGCTGGGGTCGCGGGCGGGCGCGGTCGGCGGCCACCCCTTACCGTGCTTTTCGGCGTGGCGGTCCCGGCCGTTCCCTGTCCTGGTCCCCGGGCAGGACTGGCGCCGCGGTTGGAACTTCGGTGCCGCCGACCGGTTGGCGGCGGCCGGCGGTGCCCGCGGGTGCCACGGCGGGGGGCGACACTACCTCTCCAGTCGGGTCTGGTGGAGCGGCTGCGGTACTCCCCCTTTCGCTCCTCCGTCACCTCGAGAGGGCTGCTCGGAGAGCGGGGCGGGGGCGCACCGCACGGTGCCGCTGGTGCGGGGCTGCGGGGGAGGTGCGGGTGGTCGCTGTGAAAGGCGGACGGCGCCGCGTCCCCGCACCCATCCGGCGGGGTGCTGCGGTCCCGCCTTCCGCAGCGGGAGCTGAGGAGGGGGGCAGCAGGCGGGACGGCCCCGGCGGGTGCCGCTCTGCGCGGGGAGCGGCCTGGTGGCGGTGCTGCCGTCGGCCCTGGGGTGAGCGGCGCGGCGCGGTGGGGCCGTGCGGTCGCCTTTCCCCCGCGGAGGGGTCTTACTCTACCGACCGCGGTCCCGGGCGCTCAGCTGGGCGATTCACGCGCGGCGGAGCTGATGGAGGTAGTGGTGGTCTTGTGGCCGCAGACCGTTACCTGAAGTTGTTAGAACAGTTCAAAGAAAAGTTATGCTAAAGTAAGCGTAACGGTGACGGTTGATACGTGACCACTGGCTGTTGAGACGGAGGAATTCCAAAGTTGAAATCCCGCTTATCCCTGTGCACTCTTTTTCATTGTTCTTCAACCTCCTATACTTTCAGTGATAGGAGAGAATATTGGAAGGCTTTGAAGTGTTGTCAAATCTTTTCATTTAGAAAAAATAGAGAGCTTTTGCGTGCTCTTTATAAGCGTTAATGTAAACATTCAGAATCTTGATTGTATAACATTTTAAGGAATTGTTAGGATGCTGCCAGACTTTCTAATGATGGACCTGATCCTTCAGTCGTGGAAATGGAGAAGAGTTTTGATACTGATTCAGTAGGAAGCAAGGCAGCATCCACAATGAACGGTTGAAGAGAAAATTGTTTGTTATATCTTGATAATTTTGCATGCTATGTTTTGGACATATTAAACATTAAAAACATTGTCTGCAGGAAAGAAGAGCATCCAGTTTGATTCAGTGTTTTTTTCTCTTGTAGCTGTAAGCTTTCATCCCTACTTTCTAGGAGCGTATTGATTTGGTTCTCTCTTGTTTCAGAGTATTCTGATACATTAATTAAGTTATAAAGATGCATTCAATCACGTGATGCATAACTTGCTTTCAGAATTTTTTAAAATCATGTGGTAGGTGGCAAGGATGAATGACCAGTGCGAGCACCGCACCACAAATACACACTGTGCTTTGAAGAGCTGAAGCCCAGTTTTACAGCTGAGAGGAAGGCACTAGGAAGTGTAAAAGCCGGAGGTGTGGAATTTATAACTGGTACAGGTTAATATTGTTGCTTCTTGACAGAATGTAAATTCCTAATGAAATTTAAGTTTCTCATACACAACCTGGATAGATCCAGATTCTGGATAGATCCAGCAAATGTAGTATTGGCTAACCACTTTTTCAGAAACCTCATTTAGTTCACTGGAATCAATGTCTTCAGAGTATTTTAGGTTCATTTAGGAAGCAGTCCTGATCCAAGTACATTGAAGATAGCCATGATGCAATGTCTGAGATGTGCTCAGTTATGCCAGTCTGCCTTATACCCCACTTGTGTTTTCCTTGTGTGCCTTCTTAGAAAACTAATTTTATTCGTGGTGGTTTTATAGCAAAGACCAGTAGAATTTTTGCAAAGATTGCAGGCTGAAAACACCAAGCCTTCCCCTCCCACCCCCCACTTCCTTCTTGTGAGTGACACCACATTTTAATCTGAAAATCCCGGTTTTGAGTGGGAAAACTGTAGAATCTTCAGCACATGAGGAGTCTTTAGTTATGATACTCATTTCACTGTGATTGTTCTTCAGGAGGACCTGCATACAAGAGAATGTATGCCACTGTATTTGCTACATAGCCTGTCTTTGTCTTAACTTTTTTTTTTTCCCCAGAGTTCTTAAACATTTTCTAAAAAATCAAAATATTTCAATTGTATGTCCTCAGAAGGGTGCTCAATTCAGTGTTGATTTCTCTTTGTTAATTAGTAATCAACTTTTTTGGAGCAGGGATTGTCCCACCAATAAAGTGAATATCTATTAACTATTTACTTATTAAAAATATTAATCACCTATAGACTTACTAATATTCATAATTATTGTCATTAAAAATATTCATACTCTAGTTAAAGCTAGAGGAAAATGCAGAAATTTCAGAGGTGGTTAGCTTGCTTTTTATAGCTTTCTTCTATATAGAAGAAAATGAGTCCATCTGTATGCCTCCCGACTAAAAGGAAAGTCACGAAAATAAAAATTTTTTTATTTTCCTAAGGTGCTTTTATAGTAGTATTTTTTAACAGGGAAGCACTGCTGTATGCAATACAATAAGAAACTGGGAACTGAAACAGTCCTGTCACATTCTTCAAGCTGCTGCCTATATAGTTGCTTAGATATAGATACTAAAATATTATTGATGTAATTTGCCATGAGTAGTAGGAAAATGATTTCTTTTGATACACTAGGGAAAACAAGTGGCATGCTTTTTTATATATAAGTATGTGTGTACGTTTAGTTGAACCCCTGAAGAGTTGCAGAGATCACAGAAAAGATGAATGAATGAATGATGTATCTCCTAGTCATATTGGATCATGAAAATGGTACACTGATCTTTTTGAAAAAGCTATTGCTGTTTTTGAACTGCAGTTAAAATACTGACTCGTAGCTGTTAGCATGGTCTCCAGCAAACACAGTGACTGTAAACGCTGATGTATGGAAGCTTTGCAGAATTCCAGAAAAACAAGTATAAAATGCCTCCACATCAAGGGTTCCCTTTTTACTTACTCTCAGGCTTCAAATGTCTCCTATCTGCTGCTGCCCAACACTGCCATAGGCATATGTGAATGACCAAGATAGCTGTTCTTCAGCTCTTCTGTCTCTTGTGAATGCTTTCCAAGTAAGTTAACAAAAGATGGTCTTAAACAGGACATGGGAGTTCAGCTCCTGATGCTGAGGACACAGCTCTTCAACAGCGTAACAGAGGGAGAGAGGTGAATGAAGATGGGCAAGTTGTTCTTTGACTGATAGGCAGACAGGCATAAATTTTGGCGGAGCTGTGCAGACTGGAGATGTGTTGATGGCTGAGATCAGCTTTCTAGAGCTTATCCAGGAGAAAGAAAGGTTGTTCAGGAATCTCTCTATGCCCTGGGGTGGCTTGTAGTCTAGTATTAATACAGAGATAAATCAAGGTCTGATAATGAATTATAAATTTCATTTATGAGCACACCCCTCTTCTTGTATCATTACCTAAAATGTAAAATGCTCAGTATTTTGCAGGTTTAGTGGGGCCCGGACACTGTGAAAACCTTCCTGCATTCTGATTTTGTAGCTCTCAATTTAACCTCTCAAACAAATGGGTGTCATCTAAATATCTGCTATAGTTACTGTACTTTTTTATTCCCTTTAGAATTGAAATGTGTAATTTAACATATAAGGTATCACAACATACATTCATGAAGTACGTAAGTGTACATTCTTTCCTTCTGACTAACAAGAAGTTACCAAATACTGGAGAGGAAGCTAATGGTTAAGAGTGAAGTGGATAAGAATATGCTATGCAGCTGAGACCACATGAGAATTATGTTGAGCTATATTATTAATTTCTTTGGAGCATTGCCAGCATACCTTACTCTTTTGCAGAAGGTGTTCTGTATTATCAGAAGCCTCAAAGCATCTCAGTTATATGCCCATCTCATGTATAAATACTTATCCTAGAAGAGAAGGGCAGAGAATACCTTGCAGATACTGACTTCTGCATTCATATTTTTTAAGACTGCCCTCTGTGTAACAGTAAACTAACTCTTGCCGTCTTTTGAGACGTGGTATGGTAAAAATGTGAATGACTAGTATGCCTAGCCTTCTTTCCCTTCAAGCTGTTCTGCAGCTCTGCTGTTTGAGGAGCTGATGTTTGTTGCTTTTGTCCCTCAGCAGGTGGCTACATTTTCACTGAAATAGCAGATCCTGCTGTGGAACATCATCTGTGGCTTTGTGGGGGTCGCACTAGCTGGAGTAATTCAAATATTTCCTCCTGGGTCTGACCCTTATTTTTGTTTAAAGATATATTACTAATTTATTGCTTAATATATGATATTGTAATTTAGTATTTATAATGAAGGTCTGCTATTACTCAAAACCTGTGGCTTTCACAGCAGATAAGAAGCAGGGATGTAACCTTTTTTGTGCATTTGTGATGTTTGGGTTTTTCTGTGTGTTTTTTGTTGGGTTTTTTGTTGTTTCTTTTTTTGTTTTTGTTTGTGGCTTTTTTTTGTTTGGTTGGTTTTGAGATTTTTTTTTTCTTTTTTTTTTTTTAACTCTCCAGAGCTTACCAGAAGAAATCGGAGAAAAAACTGAAATTAAGAATATCAGAAAAGCTCTCTTGGGTCATACCAGTGGCCTTCATACGTAGGGTTTGGTGTCCAACAGTGACATTAAGGGATGCTATTTAGAAGCTTTAGGTAATCCTAGCCACTTTATGTATCTGTTCCCTTGTATTCTTCCCTCATGCTTAGTTTTGACATTAGGGATGGTAGGTATATATCAGGCTCAGTGTTTTTAGAGCCCATTTGTGGAACTGCCAACCAAGAACTTGCCTTTTTCAAACTTGCTGATGCTCATTGCCTTCACAGCCTCCTGTGGTGGTAAGTTCCAGAAGCT